GCGGGTGTGTGTGTGTGTGTGTGCGCGCGTGCGTGCGTGCGTGTGTTAAATGGAGAATAAATGCTGTCTTTCAAGATGCGTAGTCCCTCCACTTCCCTCTCAGCATTTTCTGCCATCCACAAATTTGGAGGACCCTACGTGGCTCCCCCTTAAGCCCCAGAATTGCAAAGCTTCAGGATAGGGCTGACTCAGGCAAGGTGCCTGGAAAATAACTGATGCCTACTGTTACCCATCTATGCTTGCTCAATAACCCAGACAGACACAGGCTTTACACACCCTTTATATTTTTATTGAGGAGAAAGCTTTAGCATACACAACAATTTCTTATCTTCACAACACAGTAAGGCAACAATATCACAATAACAATGACACATTTAATTCAAATGGGTTTCCTCCCGAGTCTCTGGGAATCCTTGGGCTGCCTTCAAACCCCTGCATGCATTTCTTCCCCCATCCCCCACCCCTCTTTCAACCCAAGCAGGCACCCAAAGCCCATAGTTCCTCTTACAGCTCTCGTGGCTGTTACATCATAACAAATATTAAAGATCTGGGAAAGTGGGGAAGAGGGTCAAAAGGAAGCCCAAGCCCCCTTGCCACCATAGGGCCAGAAAACAGCTCACTGCTTATCTACTCTTTCCCCAGCTGAGGCTACAAGGGCTCAGGGTGAGAAGCACCATGGGAATGGGCAGCTGTCCTGCTGAGGGGTCCCTGGAGGTGGGGGTGCAAGGCACCTGTCCTTTGCACTTCTCTGGCAGGGACATGGGCAGCAGGGCCAGCATGTTGAACATCAGCAAACAGGGTCCACAGCCTTGAACAGTAGTTCCCCTTCTGGAACTCTCTCCTGAGGATATAGCTTAAAAACAAACAAAATTTTCTTTACAGGGTTGTTCACGCCTGACCTGGCAGGGATGGGGAAAACTAGGCAATTGCAATGTCCAGCAAATTAGAAGAACGCTTCAGTAACTTATTTAGTTACGCACGACTGCATAGGTGGCAGCCATTTTAAATGGTGCTGATCAAGAGTTCACAGGATGATCTCAGCTTTGAAAAGACGCCACAAGGAAACACTATGAAAAAAAGGCAGCAAAGTGTTAACAGTTCTTGCATCTGTGTCAGGGGATTCTGAATGTTTGGGTTTTTTTTGTCTTCATATTTTCTCTCTTTTCCAAGTTTTCTATAAAGTTATGTATTACTTTTCTCTGTGGAAGGTGGGGGCTTGCTTTTTAAAAGGTAGCAACAGGTTACAGGTACCCAGCCCCAGTGACCCCCAGGCTGAGCAATGTGTGATAAAGAAAAGGGTCTCTTACCTCCCAGTGATGAATAAAGACCTCACGAGAAACCAGCCAGGGGACTGGGTGTCTCTGTGACTCCTCTTCCTCCAGCTCCTTCCTCTTACCTCCAGGCTCAAAATCCTAAGGCTGGGCTGAGGTTATCTGTCAGACTCAGTGAGGAACAGAGGTTGAATTTACTGTTTTCTTCCCTCTGGCCACAGACACTTTGGCTGCACCTGCCCAGCCACCAGGCACTGTGCGGGAAGCTCAGTGTCAAGGGCAGCTCAGGCCAGCAGTGGATTTGGCTGGCTTTCTGTGGCCAGGATGACATAGTACGTATTTCACTGCAGAAGCAGTGTTGTCTGGACCCAAGGCAAGCAGCGGGACTCTTTATAAGGTACTAGATACCCCGAGTCCCAGGAGTCCTAGGAGGCAATCACCCTCTCAAGCCTCACCATCTAACCAAGGCCCAGCACCAGGCCATGGCTTGGCCCCCATGTGAGAGACATGAGGACATCTTGGCTGCAAGGCTGCAGTGGGTACAGTCTCTGTAGAGAGAACCTTCCTCCCTCCTCTCAGAACTAGGGAATCCTTTAAATGAAAGTTAAAGAACAGGCCTTGGGCCCTTCTTTCTTTGGCAGTCTGGGAAAGCAAAGCCAATTAGGCTTCTGGAACCCATGGATGGCGAGTCTCCTGCAAAGACCTTTGGCTGAGGGCTGCAGTCTAAGGCCTGGCATGGGGAGAACACCGTCCCTCAGGAGGAGTCATTCCGTATAATGTCAAACTGAATTCTTGCTGCTGCTTCTTCCTCCTCCTCCTCCCCCACCCAACTGTCTACCCTTTAGGCAACATCTAGGAAAGCGGTAGAGCCTGTGACATTGGGCTCCGTCCATTGGCGATGCCCCAGGAGGCAGTGTGGTCAGAGAGGGCCCCAGATTTGGCAAGCTGGTCCAAGGTCCCCGATACAGAAGTCTGTGGGAAGGTGGAACCACCTTGCCCAGTCAAGGACAAATCTCAGCCAAGCTGTCAATTTGAAATGTGGCTTTCTACATACTCACTGGACTAGATGTAGGAGCCTCTTCCGGGCCCTTCTGCTGGAGGTGTAGCTTGAAGCAAGTACAGGCTTCTAGGCACATTTCTTGATACCATTTTGTTCTCTGTGTAAGGGGCTTCGGTGGCTTTAGGAGTTTGGTGTGGCCTGCCCTTTCATTCACTGGGGCAGCTCAGAGAGGCATTGGGTAAAGTCCTGGTGAGCCAGTCAGAGGACACAACCATAGAACACAGGGCTAATAAACGCAGAAGTGAGGATTAGGAACAACTAGAGGGGTTACAAAAGGGTGACCAGTTCATTAACAGGAACAGGCCCAGAAATCTGCTCTCCAGTGTGTGGCAAGCCTGAGCAGAGTGTATGCCAACAGGGCAGCTTTTGTTGATCGCTTTCCTTTCCCAGGCGGCCTTGGTCGGGCACATGTCACTCTCTGGTCGTGGTTGCAAGATGTTCTGAGGTTCTACAGGTCTTCTTCAGGTTCTGCAGGTCTGGCACTCCCCTAAGGACTGGTCAGCAAACGGGGCAGGTGTGGCAGCAATAGCAGGGGCAGGGGATGCAGTGGAAGGGTGTGTTCTGGGTGGCCATCTCACTCCAGTGCTCACACACGAATTCGGCCGCGTGCAGCCCGGTGGCCCCCCTGTCTGGGAGTGAGGCAGAAGAGCACCGGGGGCCGTCTTCGAATTTGCCGTTGCCCCAGGCGACCTGCGTGGCGTATCAGCGGTGGCGAACTGTAGAATGGTGAATTGGTACCTGGAAGGCCCTCCAGAAGTGGGACTTGGTTCTGGTTCCTCCGTCTGCTGGGCTGTATTATGGGAGGAGATATATCTAGGAAATTTTCATGATAGTAGCCAGTAGTCTGGGATGAAGCATGGGCAACGGTGGGCTCCATCTCCATGATCTCATCTAGATTGTCATCTTGGGTCTCATCCTCTGACTCTTGCTCCTGCTCTGGCTCCGGCTCTGGCTCCTGCTCTGGTTCCTGGGCCCCATCCTCCTCTTCATCTTCTTCCTCATCCTTGTTCTCCTCTTCCTCTTCATTTTTCTTCCTCATCTCCTCTTCCTCCTCTTCATCCTCCTCGTCATTGTCCTTCTGTTTCATCTTCTGCTTTTTCCTCATCTCTTCCTCCCTCTTCTTCCTCCTCTCATCCTCCTCCTTCTCCTCTCGCTGAACAGCTCTCACACGCCTCCGCTGGTCCTTGTCATAAAGCCGGACCCTGCGTGCCTCTTCATCTTCCCCACTTAAGTACTCATCATCTTCATCACTGTCAATGATGTTAGGGTCCGCCGCAAAAGGGAAAAAGACATTGCGAACCCCAGGGAGCGGCATCGGCTTGGGTACGCGCACTTTTCTTTCTATCTCCACACATTCAAGAATCAGCTCATCCAGGTCGGCCATTTCAGTTGACCATAAGAGCTCCTTGTGGAAGAATTCTGACAGGCCTTTAAGGAATTGGTTTTGAAGGCGGCAGTCATCCCAAGACAAGAATTGGGCCAGGAACTGAAAAGCATCTGCATAGCTGCCAAGGGTACAGTCTCCCTGCTTGAGCTTGCGGATGGCCCTTCTGGCCACACTTCTGGGAATGGGGCCTCGGAATTTCTTCCGGATTTCATCCAGGAAGCGTGGGAAGTTGGCATGCAGGGGGCTTCCTTCCCGGGTGACCGAGACTGCCCAGTCCTTGGCCACACCAGTGAAAAAGGTGATCAGAAAGGCCACCCGATCAGCGCCCCCGGGAAAATGATCCTCGTGGTCAGCTATGAAGGTCTCTAGCTGCATCAGGAATTCGGCCAGGTACACTGGGTCGCCGGTAAAGGGCCCTATGGCAGGCCGCTCCAGGGGCGGCAGAGGCGGCTGCTGGGGCAGCTCCTTGGACGCGGTGGAGGGCAGCGCCGGCGCGGGCGGCATGGGCAGCGGGGGAGGGTCGGCTGACCCGTCGGAGGTGCCACAATCCTGGATCACGCTAATCAGCAGTTCGTCGGGGGCATACTCGGGCTCGGCGCGTGGGGGAGGCCAGCACAATAAGGGCAGATCTCCCTCAGGAACTGCGTCGATCTCATTGAGCGGGAACTCAAAGTTCTCCTCGGCAAGGACCGGCACCACCGGTACCGGCCAGCGGATATAGCTCGAGACATTGCCCCGCAGGGAATTCACCTCGGCCAGGGCCCTTCCAAGCTGAAGGCCCAAATTGGCGTTTTCCCCGCGCAGGGCGTTTAATTCTTCTCTTAGGGCCACGTTTGCCATGCGGAGGCTATTGAGATTTCCGGCCGCCTCGGACATCTGGCTGAGATCGGGCGCCGGAGCTGCGGGCGGGGGTGGGGGCAGGGAGCGAGGGGCCGGGGCGGTGCGCGGGAGAGGCCGAGCAACACCCACTAGGGCGAGCACCGAGGACCCGGAGGCTCGGCCTGGGGCGCGTTACCTTGTCCCGGAGATCGGAGAGGGCGGCGGCGGGAACCGGGAGGCACCGGCGGAGGACGCGGGCTGGCGGTGGCGGGCGGAAGGAAGCGGACTGCGGCAGGATCTGTCGAGGAAAAATCTTGCGGCTGCCGAGCAGCCGCCCTTTAAGTGCAGCCTGGGCCCGCTCCCCGCCCCCGGCGGGGCGGGTGGCGGGGAACGGCGGGTGCTTACTGGCCGCCGTGCACCGCCCTCCTCGCCCGCGCCTCTCACTACCTCTCTCCTTCCCTAGCTGCAGCTAACTCGAGTCGGGAAAATGCGACAGCGACTGCCCACTCGAGGTCGTCATGGCGACAGCCAGTGAACGTGTTCCTCTCCTCGGGCAGGCCCCCGAGTGTAGAGGAGCTGCTTCGCGAGGCGCAGCTCAATCTCCAGAGCCTGTTGCAAGGTATTGAGAGGGCGGGGGGCTGCAGCCGGAGCCCACCGGCTACGTGAGCAGTGGCAGAAGGGAGGTGGAGAAGAAAGAGCGCAGGGATGGCGAGAGAACTGTTAAAAACCTACCGAGAAACAAAACATGCGTTGTCCACCTTTCACCTTTCACCTTCCAGAGTAGTGATTCTAGAAGGCTCTGTTGCTATGGCTGCTTAGCGCCCACCCCCACCCCCACCTTTTTTTTCAGTTAAGTAGTCCTTGGGGGAAAAAAGGACAGAGGCTGAGGCAGGGCGATGAGTCAAGCCATGGTCAAAGAGAGCTGGATGAGAGTCTCCCCAGTGTGAGCCCGCATACCCTTCAGACCTTGTCTGTCAGACCTTCCCCCATGCCTTTGGAATCCTGGCACCCAAAGACAAAGAAGACATCTGCAGGGTCTCTCACTGAGGGCTTCACTCACTCTGCTTCTGCCACAGCCTTGTCCACATGTCCCCTGGGTGACTACTGCCTCACCAAAGTAAGCCCAATACACAGCACCCACAGTTTGCCCCATCCCCAATTCCCAGCCGAGGGTCCTTGAAATACACTGATGAGCATGTTGCATGCCAAGCTGGGTCCATCCTTTGCTTATCTGGAGAAACAGCCCTGTCATAGGGCCTGAGCAGTCAAACTGCGTGCAACAGGCAGAGTGAGAAAACCCAGACTTTGAAATGAGACAGAGCTAGACTCTTAACTAGAATCCCACACCTAACTAGCTGTGTTATGTTATGCAGATTGCCCACCCTATCTGAGCTTCAGCTTAATCAGTCATCTTTAAAAATGGGGATTCCAATTCCTCACATGGCACCTTTTTGTGAGAATTTAAATGGGGCGTATGCAAACTGCTTAGCAAGAGTATCTTGCAGTTGGAAAGACTCTGATAGGATGCAGCATCAACTCCCAGTGCAGGTCCTCTGGAATACAGGCTGATCTAGGCATGGTATTAAAGTTAATATAAAAGAAAAACAATGTGGTCCCTGATAGGACCTTACAATATGGAAAACATACACACTGACCAGAGGAATTTATCCAATGTAAGTGGCAAAGGGATGAAAACTCAGTGCTATGGGAGACTCCTGGGTGCTTCAGTATCTGGGTGGAGGGTCACCAGGGGCATGCATGCATGTCTCAAAATTCACTGGCCTGTTACATCTCAATAAAGTTATATAAATAAAACCTCAGTGCTGGTTGTAAGGTCCCTACATCTTCCAGGCTCTCACTGTCCCATTCAGGCCCATTTTCCAGGGCTATTACCTCTTCCTCCTTCGTCCTCACTCCAGTTCTTACACTTTCCTCAAAGTTCTCTTCTTACCTCACCCATAAAAAAACTTTTAAGGTGGGTTTTGCACTTTGCATCATACCCAGTTCAAGAGGAGTTGCATTGTTTTGAACTGCTTTCTCTGTCATTTACTCATTCACATGCTAGTCCTGGGTATACAGTTCATTCACCTAACAAGACTGAACTTCTCAGTGTAAAGTTTCTCATCTCTTACTACTCTTGGGTAGTGGCACAGGGCTGGATCCCCAAGAGATGCTCAGCAGACATTTGTTGAGGGAACTAAATGTACAAAGAGGCCTGACCAGCTCCCGTTTATCCATACCAATGATGGTTAACTCTTACAGAAAATAGAAAACTGCAGAAGGGCCATACAACTGGACTACAGCCATAACCCCCACATCCCTATCAGGGCAGTGGTAACCTTATGGAAGCATGATTCACAGGGACACCATGAGCCTTGTGTTCACATAAGAGAGGAGCTACTGTGCAGAAAAAGGAGAGTCAGTGTACTCTGTTGCCACCATTTGCAGAATTAGTAGTGGTGGGTGGAAACCTAGAGGGAGGCAGATTTCCCCTCATAAGAAGAAAGAACTTTCCTGGCACGCCTGCCAGCCCCAACCATTCTTGGATGGAATGGGCTGCCTTGGGAGAAAGGCTGCTCCCCTTCTCTGCAGGTGTGAGCAAAAGCTGAAGAAGCACCTGGAAGGTCTGCTGAGGAGGCAATCTGAACCCAAAATGGGGATGTTGGACCCGAAAACCTTTGAGGCCCCTCCTGACTCCAAGTTTCTATGATTCCCAAAGTCTTTTTCCAAATGTGCATAAAGCCGTGCCTGTTGGTTCTTTGTTCCCACTTCCCTCATTTACGCATCAAATTCCTCTCTTAACTGAAGCCCATTCAAATCTTATGCAGCCTTCTTATTCCCTGATGATGCCCCCGAACTTCTCCTTCCTTCTGTATCACTACCTCTGCCTCCCCGCTCCTTCACCATAGCCTCCCCATCACCCTGCAGGGAAACAGGCCCTCAAAGGCTCAAGTAAGAGTTCTTGGCACTCAATGGTCACACAGGCCATCTCCCCAGTAAGGCTGCAGAAAGCCTGAAGAGCCACAGGGTTTCAAAGACAGGACCTTGCAGCTGAAGTGGCAAGAGATGACTGCATCCTGAGCCTCTTCTCTCTGTTGAGCATGTAAGGTAGGGGCTATTGAGACAAGGGCATGGTCCCAGAACTGGTGCAGCTTGAATTTATTGACTCTCTTTTATCCTTGGCCCTTATAGTCCCCAGAAGTAGGCAGTTTTCCATTTCCGAATCCAGAGGGTCAGAAGCCAGGAAATATTCTACAGAAACAGTGCAAGTGAGGCTGGCAGTTAGAGCAGGAGCCCCAGCTCATGGTCCTTCCCCAGCCAGGCGCCTGACTGTGGACCCCTAGAGTGTGTATCCACTGTGCTGTTTTTCAGAAGAATATGAGGAACAGTACTCGGAGGCCAGACATCTGGGGCAGACCTTCCACTCTGCTGATGAGGCCCCTGAGCCCAGTCCCAGCCCAAGACCCCAGTCTGCCAGGCATCTGGAGTTTGTATTGATGGTGAGTTGCCTGTCCCCCACCTGGGAGGGCCAGCATGCAGAGCTCACCCTGTACGCAGTGACAGGGGACCTCAAGCTGCTTACATTACCCACTGGAAGCTGCTGTTCACCTCTGCTTACCAGCAGAGCTACCTTGAGGCCCCACTGAGATGGGCCCTGCTCAGCAGGTGTCTGGCCTGGCAGAGTCCATGCTTTCCTGCCTCCCAGATGAAGCCCCAACCATCCTGCCTAGACAACCATCCTGTGGGCACGGCTCATCTCCAGGAGGAAACACACCCTTCCCGTCCCCTTCTTTCCCAACAGCCTACAAAACGGCAGCTGAGTGAGGAGGAGACTACCACCCAGGGTGTGAGGGCCCCTGAGACCCCCCTGAGCCTGTTAACCGCAGCCGACAAGCAAGCTGCCTGGAACAGCCCCTACCCTCTGCCTATCCTAGAGGAGAAGCGGTGGCTTCAGGCTTGCTCCACGCACTCTGACCTTGTGCCCATCAACATCTCTGGTAGAGTTGCTTAGTACCACCTCTGCTTCCCTCCACGCCAACTGCAGGCCATCCTTTCTAATTGCACTGGGTGCTGGGGGACGGAGCAAGGCTTTCTTTGCTACAGGCTCACCTGTGCTGTCAAGGTCATGTGCTGTCAAGGTCATGCAGAGGCGGGGGCTCTGGCTGCTCCACCTTCACGCTCTGCTGGCACTGCCACCTTAACCGAGGGTGTTGGATAGCAAACAAGGTTCTCTTAACAGCACACTCTACGACATTATGAACTTGCGTGTAGAAACAATGTGAGTTATGTTTGCTTTCAGGAAAGATGACTCCTTGTGCCAGAAGCTGGGTTTGGAGAACACAGATAGGAGTTGGAGGGCAAGAGTAGGTTCAGAGTGCTGCTGGTGAAAGGGAGGAATATACGCAAGGTATAGACCAAGGGTCTTGTGGCACTTTAAGGAGACACTCGGTCTTCTAGTGAACTGAGCCTCTTCAACTGTGTGGCATGTGTTCAAGGAGGGACTAGAAAGGGACCAAGGCAAAGAAAAAAACCCACAAAAACACAAAAAACAGCAAAGGAGGACCAGTGCTACCTTGAAAGCAGGGAAAATGATGTTTGCAGCTCAGCTGGTTGTGACTTTGGGGACATGTAGCACTCTCCACCATGCCTGTTATTAACTGATGCTCCACACTCCACGGGCTATAACTGGAAGAGGAGAAGGGTCAGTCATTTCAGAAGGAGACAGGGCCAGCGACCTAATCAAATCGGGACTCAGAAGCCAGAGGGACCAGAGGTCCCTTGTGAGTCAGCGCCAGCCTGTGGTATGCTGGAAAAGTGGATGATAATGATGAGGACAGTTCTGGCCACATGTGGTAATGCTCCCTGGATATGTGGTCATCCGGTGCCATTGGTGTCATCCCAGGAAATCAGAAGCAGGAAATAGAGCCTGGGGCCTAGGGAGGTGTACCAAGATGAATGAGCTGAGAGGAGAGATTCACAGTGATGGCAGGCACTCTGTTTTCACACTTCTGTCTTACTCTCCATGAGTCTGGCCCTCAGTTTGTCCACGGAGCCACTGGCTTGGGTGGTGGGAGCATGTGGTAAATGGGACAGCTGCAGCCATGGGGCTGGGGGTGGGGGTTTGGTTAGCCAGCTGTTGAATGAGAAACAGTGGGGGAGCAGCATTCCTCACCCCACCCCTTCCCCAGCAAGTCCACACAGCAAAGACTGACCTACAGCTTTAAGAGAAATAGATCTCAGTCACAGAGAACAAACTGTGAGGATATGTGATCAGGTGACTGGAGGACAGACTATCCGGCTGCTTCCTAAATGGTAGGGGGGCTATGGGGCAGCTTTTTGGAGACAGTGTCCTCACCAGCCCACATAAAGGCTTTCTCTGGGAAAAGATTACCATCAGGCCACAGCTAGTCTCAACCCATCTCTCTATACCAGTGGCTCTCACCCCAGGCTATACATTTGAAGAACTAATTGCCTGAAGAGCTCAATAAATTACTTCTACCTGAGATTTCAATGCTCTGGGGTGGGGTCCAGGTATTTCCAAAGCTGCTCAGTTGATTTCAATATGTAACTGAGGTTGAAAATACAGTACTTCTCCACTGAAGTCTCCCAGGTAGCCCAGGGCATGGACTGCGTGAGCCAGCATGTGTGCCTTGGGGCTGTGGGCACCTGGAGCCAAGCTGTGAGGGCTGGGGAAGGAGGGCCACCTGCCTGGGTGCTGTTCATGCTCATCGCCGCTGCTGTCATTCCTTCCCTTTACCTCAGGCCATTTTTCTCTGTACTGTAAGCAGAGACCAGGATGCACCCAAATGTCTTTATTTTGGCTACAGGGCAGCAGTTTGATAAACATGCAAGTTTGCGACATTCGTTGTTTAACACAGAGACAGCCGTGAACCCCAAGTCCACCCTGAGGCGGAGGAGGACCATTATTGGATTCTCTAACTTTTCCCAGCGAGACCAAGGTGACCCAAACATAGCCTATCCCCCAGACCCTTCTCCTTGCTCACTCCCCACATTCCTGACCCCCAGGCAGTGGCATGATGATGGGGAGCAGGACTAATTCAGAGAGTGGGGGCTTCAGAGGTCCTGAAAAAGTCAATGTGGTAAGGATAACCAAGGGCCCTTTGTCAAGGGGAGCAACAGAATATGGGGAACAAGCCCCCCAGGCTAATAAATTCATTATGTTATCATTGCTCATTACAAATGGTATGTAACCATACATGTCAAATTTAGGAAAATGGATAAAGAGGGGAGTCATCACTAAAAGCACCATCTGACTGGAACCATTTCTGCCATTAAATGAATGCCACCCAAAGAGCACAAACCAGAGAGATATGGACGCAAATCATGGCCTCTTCACTTACTAACTGTGAGGCCTTGGCCAAATTACATAACCTCTCTGAGCCTCCACTTCGTCACCTGTAAGGTGTGAATAATGATACAAACCTGATACAGTGGTCATGAGGATTAGAGTTACTGTGTGTCATTTGCCTAATATGTGTCTGGTACCTGGTAGCTGTTCAACAAATTGTGGCTGTTACTACAAATCATCATGGTAGTACTAGTAATAGCAATAATAATGAGAATGCTCTAATAGTAATAATTGTGTATATCAGAAAATCTTGGGGGCTTTTGAACATCTGAATGGTTTCCTCACATCTCTAAGTTACCCTAAGTTTCTCATGTTATAAAGCTAAACAGTGACAAATGCCTGAAATACATTAAGATTCTGAGCTTAACAGCTGTGGCAAACCGCAGATATACTGCCGAGCTGGAAGTCCCTCGGCTCTGCCTGCTATCAGTTCAAAAGCCTCTGTTCTCATCTCAGGAGAGATGAACACTGAGGTCTGAGATGGGCTCATGTGCCTGGGATGAACCTGCAGGAAAAACTCAAGATTCCCACATGCCGCTTCAGCTCTGAACAGAATAATCAAAAGTTGGGAAGTCTTCGGCAGCCAGCTGGGCAATACAAGGGGAGCCTGTGACTCACCATGAGGTGACAGGCAAGGTCCCCACTTCCCCAGCACCTCATCTATGGGAAGGAAGAACCAAGAATTCTGCCCGGGATATTGGCAAATGCCTCTTGGCAAAATTTGGTGCTCCTGTCTCATGACAACTGCAGGGGGATCCCTGGCTGCCCCACTAATGCTCTGTGTCTACCTCCTCCAGGTCACAGCAACAGCCCAGCAGGCAGGGTAGCCTGCTCGGCCACCTCAGACATCAGGCTCTGTCACTCAGTACCAGAAGGTGTTCATGGAAGAGTTGCAGTTGGCCAGGAAACTCGGTTCCCAAATCTCACCTCACCAGTCCTGAGAAATCCTTCTAGTGATCCAGAAGAACCTCTCCAGGTGTGTGGTGGCACAAACCCTCCTGGCATGGAGAACATGAGAATGGTGTACAGTGTCTCCAGTTCTTGCAATGGACCAGCAGAATCAACATTCTCTGCTTCCTGGAAGGGAGATGCTTTTACCTACATGACTCCAAGTGCCACCAGTCAGAGCAATCAAGTCCATGAAAATGGCAAAAATCCTTCCTCTGGTAATTCTTGGCTCTCTCTGCACACACTGCCACCTCTGGCTCCCAAGGAGGCTGCTACACTCTTCGTCACACGTGATAGCCCAGCAGGATGCAGTGGGTCAACTAGCTACTCTGAGCACTCTGCTCAACGAAGGCAAGTTGCGGAACAACCTTCCAAGACTGGCCTTCTGACTCAGGGTAACTCGAGGCTGGAGACAGGCCCAGGTGCAGCCAGCAGGTTTCGAGAGCGGTCGCTGTCTGTGCCCACAGACGCAGGCACCTTGGATGTGGACTATGATGAAGAGCAGAAGGCCAGTGAAGCCTGTGCCCTGCCTTATGGCAGTACAAGCTCTGAGGGCTGTCACAGTGCTGACAACATTGCCTCCCTTTGTGCCCCACAGGAGGCCCAGCACAGAAGGCAGAGGTCCAAGAGTATCTCACTCAAGAAGGCCAAAAAGAAGCCTTCCCCACCAATGCGCAGTGTCTCACTGGTCAAGGATGAGCCAGTCCTCTTGCCAAAAGGTGGGTCCACACTCCCCAAGGACCAGAGGCCCAGGAGTCTTTGCCTCTCCTTGGAACACCAAGGACATCACTTATCCCACCCAGATGCTCAGAATCATCCAACTGTGCCAATGTCCAAAGATTCAGAAGATATACAATTCTCCCATCACTGGTATCTTCCTGACTGGAAGTCTGGTGACACCTACCAGTCCTTGTCCAGCTCCAGCACTGCCACGGGCACCACAGTCATTGAGTGCACTTCAGTTCAGGGAAGCTCTGAGTCCCTTGCTTCCCCTTCTGCTTCCCGAGCCACCACGCCTTCCCAACTTTCCATGGAGGTGGAGGCCAGGGAAGTGTCCTCCCCAGGAAGGCCCACTGGACTGATGTCACCCTCCAGTGGATACTCCAGCCAGTCAGAGACACCAACACCCACTGTCTCCATGTCTTTGACCCTGGGCCACTTGCCCCCTTCAAGCAGCAGTGTCCGGGTGCGTCCAGCGGTACCCGAGAGGAAGTCATCACTGCCCCTAACATCACCAATGGAAAAAATGTCCAAGTCACGTCTATCATTTGACCTACCATTGACCTCTTCAACCAACTTGGATCTGTCTGGGATAAGCATCTCCATGCAAAGCAAAACCAAGGTGAGCCGGCATCACTCAGATGCAAATGTTGGGGCCAAGCTGGCCCAGAAAACGAGCCCTAACCAGCCAATCATGCCCATGGTTACTCAGTCTGACCTACGTTCTGTTCGCCTGAGGTCAGTCAGCAAGTCTGAGCCAGAAGATGACGTCGAGAGCCCTGACTATGCCGACGAATCAGGAGCAGAAGTCTTCATCTTGCCAGAGAGAAAAGTGAAACCTCCCATAGCTGAGAAGCCTCCACTGGCCCGAAGGCCTCCAAGCTTTGTCCATAAGCCACCATCTGTCCCAGAGGAGTACCCACTAACTTCGCCTACCTTGGCTATGACCCCCAAGAGCTCAACTCAACACATGAGGTCACTCCCTCAAGACATCTACACAGTGTGGAAACCAAAGTCCTCCAGCTTTCCCGAGGGCAGGAGCCCAGGAGAGTCGCCAGCACCCTCATCTCTTGTTTTCACGCCTTTTCCCAGTTCTTCTGGTGCTTTCTTCTCGGGAACACAGCAGTCTCCACAGGGAACTATGGAGGAGGAGGGCCCCAAGGTGAGAGCCCTGCCTGAAAGAATTAGCCTCCAGAGCCAAGAAAAAAATGAGAAAAAGAAAGGCAAGATTCCACCTCCGGTACCAAAAAAGCCCAGCGTGCTGTACCTACCTCTCACCTCACCCACAGCTCAAATGGAGGCCTATGTGGCTGAACCAAGGCTGCCTTTCAGCCCCATCATCACCGTGGAGGAAGACACCAAGTGTCCCCCAGCTGGCGACCACTTGCAATCATCTGGTACGAGGATGACTTCAATGCTGCATGCTGATGGTGAAAGGGAGGCAAGCCCTCTGGGTTAGTAAACTGTCTGCTGGTCCTTCCTTTCAGCCTCAGGAGAGATGAGGGTGAGGATGGCGTGCCAGGGACAGAAGAAAATGCCCCCAGATAATGATCCTGATGACGCCAGGGTGGCCAAGTCAGTAGGGGCCACCCCTTGAGGGTTGGGGTTACTCTCAAGAGGCCTCACTGCTCTTGGGATGGGCACTGACCCAGGGGCGCGTATCCCAGGCCCAGTTTGAGCCAGTCCAGCCTGGAACCCCCAGTGCTGAAATAATGAAATTAAACTTGGTCTTAGCACCCGAGGACCTTAGGAGCCCCTCTACCTAGTCAGGCATGCACTGCCTGCACTAAGGACTCTCCCCACCTCATCATACAGCACTTTTCACTGGCCACACTGCATTGCATTTTGTGCATGGGACTCCCAGCATGAGTTCCAGCACCTTGGTGGGCTTGCAGGCTCCTGAAGCAATGGACTATGTCACCAGCAACAGACTTCCTTAGTGCTTTCTAGAAGAAAGGGAGGTCGCTTTTTTGATGGTTGGAGGCTAGGCTCTTCCTGGAACAATAAGACTAAGCTAGACTATCTTGCTCATCCTTTTTTGTTTTGTTTTTGTTTTCCTGTTTCCTTTTGTTTTGATTAAAGTAAAAAAAATAACAAAATTGACCATCTTAACCATGTTTAAGTGTACAGTTCAGTAGTGCTACATATATCCGCAGTGTTGTGTCACCATCACCACCACCACCCATCACCAGAGCTCTCTTCCTCTTATAAAACGGAAGTGTGCCTATTAAACAGTAACTCCCTATTGGTCCCCACCCAGTCCCTGGCATCCACTCTCCTACTTTCTGTTTCTGTGAATGTGACTCCTTTTGGGATGTCAGATAAGTGGAATTGAACAGGACTTGTCTGCTGGTAACTGGCTTATTTCACTTAGCATAATGTCCTCTAGGTTTGGCCACATTTCTCACCCTGTTTTGAACCCTACCCACCAAACATCAAAATCTTATGGCCTTCCTCAAACTAATTTAGGCTTTCAACATACATTAAATCATAACAAAAGCAAGCAAACAAATCAAAATCGTGAGTAATTTTAGACTATGCTTCCTTGCACTCCACAGGCTCCCTCTGAGATTCAGATAGGTCCCACTCCCACCCACTGGTTGAGTCATTGCTTTAGATTGATCTCAGCAACTTGATTTTTTTAATGATGCATTTAAAAGAAGAGAATATGCGGGCAACCTGTTGTAATGGAAAAGGCCTGAGAAAACGGAGCCAGGCTAGTCTCTATCACTCACTCCACCTTGGCTAAAACACTGACCTTCTGAACATTACATTCCTCTGCAAAATGAAGACATTAAGAGTCTCTGTCCTGCTGCCCTTCCAAAGTTGCTTTGAATATCATGAAACTCAAATGAGAATGTACTCTGTCCTAACTATTGTGGTCAAAGCAGTTCTTTCTGGTTCTTATACCTAGAGAGTACCATGGAACCAAGCCCCGAAGAGAAAACCATCATCAGTGATAAAACAGCTGAATGGATTGCAGAAGAAGATGATGATGTGTTTGTAGTTTCACGCACAACTGAAGATTTATTTACTGTGATACACAGGTCTGGACCAGTTTCCTTATGCCTCTTGTCATTGCCTTCCCTTTCCATACCAGAAGAAAAACTGCTACCTCTTGGAAGCCATTAGAATTTAAACTGGGGACTAAGTTCAGATACCTACGTAGGTGAATGCAGTCCAGGGCCTCACATCTCCAATTCACTGACATCTTCTGGTAAAGTGGAGGAGGGGCTGAGAAGGGAGGACCAGGTGCTGAGTGAGAGGCCCCTGGTCTCCTAGCAACCGCATGGCTTATTGTGGCTCCATCTGCTCTCCCACAGCCCTGTCTACAGTCAGGCACATTTAACCCTTCACAGAACTCCTTGTATCTGCAAAATGAAGACATTAAGAGTCTCTGCCCTGGAATTGAAGTGGGACACCAGGCCTAGAATCAAAGCAGGAGCTTAGGCAAAGGGAGACCATTTGGAGACCCAGCTAGCAGACAGGGGCACCAATTAGAGGCTCAGTGAGGAAATAACTAGAGAGATCCCAGTTATTTGAGCCAAAGCACCAGTTCAGAACAAGATCAGCCCCCAGGCTGCCTTGGTTCAGAGTTACTGACCAACTAGCCTTGACTTCTCAAATTCATCCTTGGTCCCAGAAGCTGGGCAGGACAGAAGCTACAGGCACAGGCCAAGTGACTGCAGCTGTGGGCCCTGAAAGTCATGTAGGGATGGGGGCCCGGAGAAGGGACTCTGAGGACTAGGTGGTGAGAGAGAAAGCTGGTAAGTATGACTGTTTGCAAGGCAGCTGCATAGCAGTCTCCAGATCATGTCATGGGCATTCATGTAGTTATAGGAAGCATTAGGAAATGTCTGCTGTAAGATTTCACTCAAAGCAAACTTTCTCTTATTTAGGTCCAAAAGAAAGCTGCTTGGCTGGAAGGAGCCTGGTGAGGCCTTTGCCGGCGGCAGCAGAGCAAGCTCCCACTCACCAATAAAGAACACGGCTGATTCTCCAGTCAGTGAATCAGCTACCTCTGCAGGGTCAGGTGGCAGTGCCAACCTAGATGCTGGCAGAAATGATGATTTCAAGGCCTTGCTACAGAAGAAGGGAATCAAGGCAACCCCAAGGTCCCGCCCCTCAGCAGCAGAACTGCTGAAGACCACTAACCCACTGGCTCGGAGAATTATTTCACAATTTTCGAAAGACTGTGAAAGCACTGGTAACCCCAGTCCCTAAGCCCTGACTTCAGCAAGCACGGTTTGGCTACTAAACTTGAGTAGACAAGGGGGCAGAGTAAGGGTTTTAAAAAGGAACCACCGAAATAACAGAAGAGCCTTCATTTCTTTTACATTAACTCACACTCTGGAGAGCAGGAGAGAGGCCACTTCCTCTAGAACTACAATCAGGAACTTTAATCATCTTCAGGCATTTTATGTTTTCATACCTACAATCTTGCCATTCCTGACTACTGATTTTCTCTTTATTTTCCCCCAGTGGTGTGTAATGAGAAGAAATGCTTAGACGCAAGGGCACGTGTGCCATCTTTGCAATCAATGACCAGGCTGCTCCATGCTGGCTTCTCTCACTGAGGGGCACAGTGTGATAGCAGACGGGGGGCTTCCAAACCTGGGGGGCATAGAGTGCCATTGCTCATGATTCACTTCTCTGGTAAGGCCTCCACGGCCCTGTGTGGAGAAACAGAAAGACTCTAATGCCTCTCCAACCGCAGTTCACCTCTCGCCTTTGAGAGGTTTGTAGGTGTGCACTTATTTCAGCATGGGGTTGATTGGATAGTTTTTGTCTTGTAAAATATGAATGTCCTGAACTTCATTGCCTTTTTTGGTTTGATTGTCTACACAGAGATCAGGGTGATGAGTTTCAATAAACATATGGACCCCATCAACCCATCCCTTAGCTAGAAAAGGTCAGGACTGGGCTCCTTTGGATGAACCAAGCACAGCCAACAAAGGAGGCAGCCATTTGCTCACTCAAGTTTATCCAGAGTAACCTGCACGTGCGCCTTGAGATCCTTCAAGTGTCTGTCACTGATGATACTAGGATCTGTGCCCAGGTAATGCTGCATTCTAAGAACTCTGGTTCTTTTGTATACAACGTTCATTACAGGATGTAAGTATCTGAAGGAACAGCACCATTAAAGGCTCAAGGAAGAGAGAGAGTATGTGTAACTTGCCCCCCACCATTGAGTTCAGATTGTAGTTTGTGGTGGTTTGGTTTCGTTCAAAGGAGGTCTTACTCTGTTCTAGAGTAACAAGAATGTACAGACTCAAAGGATATACCCAGAATACAAAAGGCAGCTTTGCCAAGTTGCTGTGGACCACATAACACACATAAAAAGGGCTACTTTTTGCCACTTAGGTTCTATTGTTTGATCAACTGTCAATTAACCATGCTGGGGGAGAATGTAATCACTGGAAAATGGGACACCAAGAGAGCCCCAAACAAATGGGATACTGCGATCTGTCCCTCACAAAGCTTGCAAGCACTATTTTTGCCAGTTCAATTTTCTAATCAGTGCAAGAGCAGTGATTCATTTGATTTTTATGGTTTCCGGAAGGTTGGGGGAAAAAAACAGACAAGGCATTGAACAAAGAAAACTGGTAATCAATAATGGAGGGCTAATTGTTCACCTTTCCCAAGAGGAAAAAAGAAAAAGTCAAAAGAAATTGTAGCCTGCTTCACAAAGAGGGTTCCCTGACCCCTTTGTCCTTCACCTCCCACCCAACAGATTCCCTGGTCAACCTCCTCAAGGACACAGAAAACTGCCCTGGAGACAAGCAGATCTTGATTTTGATAGGTGGTGGTGTTCACCAATGAGAAGTAAGCTCTTAGCTCAGCTGTCCACACTCTTGCTGATAGAGCAGCTGAAAAACCACCCTGAGTGCTGAGAGGACTTGGACCTCTCATGTAGAAGCCGAGGCCTAGGCCCTTGGCTGGTACAGTTCTGAATTCTAGACTTCTGAGTACAGGCCAGGCCCATCAACTCCCTTGCAATCAGCTCTTCCCCCTGATTTAGGGAGAAGCCACTTCAAATAATAAACAGCAAAAGCCCAGTTTTGAAAGCATTAGAATTATTTGGTTTTAAGGTCCTGACCAAATTTCAGGGGGTTGCCCAAAGTAAAATACATTCATTCCCGGCCTGAATTTATGTATGAATGCCACACTTGTCTGCCCCAGACTCAGAATTCCAAAAGATGGAAACGTTTTCCTTTATAGGGAAGTGAAGGTGTTTTTGTACTTTTGCCCAACAAAATGACTTATGAAAATCAAGATCCACTTGTCTCTGAGGCAAGTTTCTGCCAGGGCCTTCTTCCTAGGAGCCATTACAAAGAGCTGAACTCTAAAGCCAAATATGAGATTCACACAGAGTATAGGACCTGTAACTTAACGCTGATTTTCTGGGAAGCTTTTTGTTTTCTACTTCTAGTGGTTGTCATCTTTCCCCTCACCCTACTACCTCTGGTGGCTTTCCCAAAAGATTCGGAAGCTGAATTTCCAGATACCTTTATGTCTTTCAACTACCTTGAGTCTTGTTTTCCTTTACTGTACTCTATCTGCCTGGAATTTTTAGAACATCTTCTGCATCATCACTATGGCCCTCAAATGCCCAGTGCTGTTCCCATTAGCAGAGGCAGATTTAGGGCAGAGATTGTATGGTCAGAGGTAACACTGAGGCTGGAAGTATTCATTTAATGTTTGCAACAGGTGGACCTAGTCCCAAACAACCAAGCAAACTGTAGAATTTCTACCAGTCATTGATGAGCACAACACTGAACATCTTTCTTACTCCTAACACTCAACCTCTCTCCTCCCCTTGATTATCATAACATCAACTGTCTCTCCCACCCAGGCACATACTACAACGTTTGCTGCCTTTGGCACCTACTCTGGCCATACTGGAAGAAGAGAGGCTGAAGGGCCCTCCAGGGAGACTTCTAGACAACCTACTACTGCCACTATTGCTAGTGCAAATAATAATGATAACCATTTTTGAAGGTGGATTACAGGTGGGGTTCAGTGAAATGGAGTTGGCCCCAGGAGGTCAGCTTCCAATTTCAAATAGTTTCTAGCCCTTTGTTTCCTCTGATTCAAACCAATAGGAGCAGGTGGCTCTGCTGGATTGACTTCAGTCTAGTCAAGAGGGGGAGCCATCCCAGGTAGGTTAACTGGGAAGCTAAGAGTGCTTTGCACTTGGTGAGTATCCATTCCATATTTGTGGTTCAGATGTTGAGGGTAGAGAACGTCATTGGGGTCTCCTTTCCTTTGCCTGTGTCAGTCTCTCACCTGGGCCTCCCACCTGGCCCTAACTTGTCCCTCAGCCCCAACTCTCCTGTAAACTGCATCCCTAACTGACAGCTCACCCTTTGGGAAGCAGAATAGTTCAGGTTAGCTTAATGACCACAAATCGACTTGTTGATTTAGAGACATCACCTTGAATGTACAAAGACAGAGGAGATTCTACAAGGCTCTTACAACAAGCATTTCAGCAGACATCCATTTCCACTCTAAACAACAAGCATTGGCTTGTGATCCCACTATACCTATGAGTGTGAGCGGGTCTGTCCACGCACCAGCCCTCTGCCTCATACACGAACTAGTCCTTAAAGAGACAGATCCATGGTCAAGGCTCTGTTCCCCTCCAGTGCAGCCTCCCATCACCACCAGGTCTACAACACAGTGGTAGGCTTTCACTTTGATTTGTCAGGGCCAGGACTAGAATGAGGTGAGGGAGGTACATGGGGTATAAAATTTAAGGAGGAAACCACGTGCTCTTGAGGTCATGCAAGTGCCTTCCCCTCATCCTGGCCCTGTGCTTTGCACTCTTCTGAGGTGATATCAGTTTATCTGCTTCCAGCAATTAAGTATGGTTTCTTTGATTTAGGGGCTAACTACCTATCTGGTGCCACACCAAACATTTTATTGCTAACTTGTTTTTCCATTGCTATAAAGCTTTTTGGCCTATATATCAAAGAATCTTCAGTAGTACCAGAAAACATGCTTGATTTCTAAGTAACCTGGTCCAAGTGGCAAGTTAGCACTCATTTCAGTAAAGATGTGGACAAAGACAGCTATTCAGCAAAATAGAATGAACTGGGATCCTTGGTCTCCCTTTCTAGTCCATTCTCCCCAGACCTTGCTTCCCAGCACCAACTCTCCTGAGTGCCTCCTAATTTGTTCTTCTGCTCACTAAGAAAAGCATGCTCTCAGGAAAGGGATAAATTCCTTTACTTTGAGATTATAAGGCTTAATGCTATCTCTTTTGAGGGTTGCTTGCATTTTAACAGGGGAAAAGCCTTAAACCAAGGGAATGAAGTTCTTGTAGATTTTTAGGCATCAATTAGTTTCAGACATGTATTTTTCACCATGGAAAGGCTAAATTCCCTGACAGCTAACTCCAGAATATAGAAAATACCTTAATGTGCTGAAATTATTTTAGTAAATTGCCAAGGGTCTATTAAATTGTCCTGCTATCTAGTGCCATTCAATGTGGTTACTACTAAGGGACTCTCAGAAATGGCCACTGAAAGCCACTGGGAAGTCCTAGATAATTCATATTGTACATTAATATTTTTACATAAATTGAATTAATACTACTTATCGTTTGAGTAAAAGAACACAAAGATTTAAAGTTTGTGAAAATGTGTCCTGTTTGTGAAAGGTGAAACTGTCCAATCAATGTCTTATCAATGTCAGCTGTCTGGTATTGGTGGTGATTATTAAACTTATTGGAGGTACAGCTTCACTGAACATAAGCCTCTGCTTTCCCCACCACCCTTATCTATGTTTGGTGCTATCAGTTGAGCATGGTGTGAGAATAAGACCAGATCCATATAGCAGAACACCCAGTCCCTCCAAAGCCTTTGTGTGTATTTCAGCTCTAAGAGACTAAGGTAACTGAGGATTTGAAAGAACAAGAGGGTGGGAAAGAGGTACAAAGAGTTGCCTTTGTCAAAGGGCAGCAAAAATTATCATGAATTAAACAATGACTTGAAATAAAAATTTAAAATACTCTGAAAGAGCTGTACAGAGGAATACAGTGATAATTGGCCATGGACACACATTTGAGGCACTTGTAGTAAGTTCAGCAAAAATAGATTTGCATAAGTAATGGGTTATGTGAAATAGGTGTGTATTTTGTTCACTAAAGCCCAGAATCTAGGCCAGTGACTTTCAAAGTGTGGTCGCAGGAGCACCAGCAGCAGCTTCTCTGGAGTGGATGTGCGTGTATGTGTTTCCAGTGATGTTACTTCTTCAGATCTCTGACTCACTGTAACCAGGATTCTCCAATTGATTCCAACCTTTCCCATCATGTCTGCTGTCATCATTACAGTGATCAGTCTCTGGCCAAGTTATGTATATTGTCATGGTCAGATGTGTTTGCTTGGTGTTAAGAAACTCTCACTAAATCAACTACTTGCTCAACCTAAAAAACCTTTGATTTGGCTTAGCCAGCACATCTGGCCTGTTTTTTGTTTTAAAAAATTTTTGTTTTAATTCACAAATAGGAAAAAGGAAAAGGTGTTAACGTTTTGTTTGGTATTGCCAACCCTTAAATACCTGTCTTAACCATGGCGGCCACTCTCCAGGAAGGCTCTGGCAGAAGTAAATTTGATTTTAAGATTTCACCCAATCATCTGACATCATCAAATCCACAAACAAAATCTGAACTGGAACAAGCAGTTAACCCCTCTCAGCCTCTCTTTAATGCCAAGCTTTATAGAAATGTGTTCCTTATGTGGTATTGAGCTTTTTTTTAATGTCCGATTTTATAAAATGTTATGCATGAAAACACAGCATTGTGCTCATTGTACGAGTCCCCTCAACCTCATTTCCTCCTCTGTATATATGGTGGTGAAGAGATATCAATCTGTATGTTCTTCCCTCTCCTGATCAATTACAAAGTACAAATCTTTTCATTAATTTTTAAAGGAGATATATTTACTCTGGTTAGTAGTTAAAATTTAATTCTTTTTATTATATTTCATTGCTACTTTTTTCTACTGGCTGCAAAGCTTACTTTGGGGGATATTTCTTATTCCTGGGTTGTTGTATTTATCTTATTTCTGTATTTATCTGTAGTCACAGAATATTAGAGGTGGAAGGGACCAGTCTCTCATTTTACAGATGAGGAAACTGAGGCCCAGAAAGGTCAAATACTTTACACAGGTCATGCAGTGGCAGGGCCAGGCCTTAATTCCAGGTCTCCTGCCCCTGGACCCAGTGTTTTTTCTATTTAAACCACTGCTTTTATAGAAGACCCATAGCTGGCTTTTACTTTTATGACACATGAATTTCCCAAGTATTTCAGTGAACTACATTTAATAACATACATGCTTTGAAAACAAATCCTACCATTTGCAAAAACATGGATGGAGCTAGAGGGTAATCATATATATGCTTTGAGGACAAATGCTCAAAGGTTCTTTAGTTCATGAATTAAAAGACAAATCTGATTTTCAGTTTACAAATACTCATTTCCCTCCAAATTCAACATATGTACCCTACTTTCCACAACAGATGATTTCTCTTAAAGTCATTTGAAAAATGAATTTTTACAGATTAGATTCCATTTTTTAGTAGAAAAGCTTCTTATGTAAGGGAATCTGCTGGTGACTTCTTCTGAAAAATGAAGAATCCTCTTGTCAATATCCCCTGATATCTCACTTTAGTGTAAACTTTTGTAATTGGTGTTTGTGCAAAGTAGGGCAAATCAATATAGGCTTTCCTAGAATCTGCTTTATCCTTCCCTTCTTAAACTTTATATTTTCAGACTGTTACATGCTCATGAGATACTTAGTTGTGTTCTAGAACTTCATTTAACTTGATATTGTGTCAGTCCCTGGGCTCAAATTCTATCTCCATCTTATCAAATAATAGAATTCCCTAAACAGTTCTGAGCTCTGCATGCAGTCTTTTTTCCAGGACATTCTTTGCTTAATACTCCTTTGGGTGACTCTCTCTTTAGCTGTTCTTGAGCCCCCTGGTTCCTGCGGAGCTCACTGTTGTGCGGAGTTGCAGGCAGTGCCACGTTAGGGCTGTGCTAGTCACAGGGAGTGGTATTCCTAGTGATTTCCACTGTTCCCGTGCTTCTCCCGGACCCCCTCTGGCTCCCCTTTTCAGGAATTCTCAGAGACTGGTGGGATTTCTACCACCACCCCCTTCTAGACTTGAGGTTGACAAACTTTTTTCTGTAAAGGGCCAGATAGTAACTATCTTAGGCTTTGGGGGTCACACATGGTCTCTGTAGCATGTTCTTCTTTGTTGTTTGCTTGTTTACTTGACAATATTTTAAAAATGTAAATGCCATTATTAGCTCTTGGGTCATACAGAACCGCAGGCTGCATTCATCCCACTTGTCATAGCTTACCCCTGGTCCAGACTGTTTTCTGGGACAGGCATTTCTGTGACCAGTTGCATATGACAATTGGGTTGTGTACTGGATGATGTAGCTCACTGCACTTCCATCCACTGCACTGTCAGACCAGCCTGCACAGAGGTGGGAGGACAGGAGCAGCATATGCCAACCATTACTCTTTGGTAGGATGCCCTTCCTGCTGGATTCTCTCTCTATCTCTCACTGACTACTGACTACCTCAGTGTAGAAAGCCTCATTCTTTTTTCCAGCTCTCTTGTCCTGGTTATCCAATGTGCCTCTGCCTTCCTGGGTCAAGCTGGAAGGGAAGAATGAATTTTGGAGTTTTCTTATTTCTTTTGTCCCATTGTTACTCCCCCAAACTATGGTTGGGGGCCCCTGCTCTGGGGTCATTTGTCCCACCCTGCCCCATACTGCCATCACCAGTTTAGGGCTGTCCCTGGAAAATGTGATGGCCCAGGCCAATGAGATTCCAGTCTAGTCTACAATTGCCCAGTGTAATCACCAGCTCTCTTGGTTCCAGTGGCTGGTTTTAAAATCCAGAATACCCATGTGTCCATTTTCTTATGCAATTTGGACCTGTTCTAGACTCAACCCCAGCAAGAAAATCAAGAGGTACAGAGGATATTGTGTGCCATCATTTTTCCCTGCCTCAACCCCCTGCCTCCTGGGCCCCCAGGCCCCAGGATGGACTCCTTAGGACGCCCCAGGTAGCACCACAACCAGAGGCATTCAGCACACCACTGCCTGCTGTTCCTTGATCCTCTAAAAGGATTCCCTAAAGCTTCTTCACATCTCTCTCTCCATCTGGCTCCCATCTCTACCTCTCAGGCTCAGATTCACATTTTCACATTTGCTCGTGTAAACATTGGGGGCTGTGAGTGAATGAGCAGGTATGTGCCTGGGTATGCGAGCATGGTTTGTGGAGGCACCGCTGACTAATGTGTCTCACACACGCATACACACACACACACACACACACACACACACACACACACACATCACCCAGTGCTCTCATTAATTCTCTGGTCCACGGCCAGGTCTGATGGGGCTGGTCAAGGAGAAGGGATGGTGGGGGCTCCTGAGGCACTTCTTTTTTCTTGTCTTTTGAAACCTTCTTTCCACAGGCTGGTGCTGGTTTCTCCCAGGAAGCCATTTGAAGAAGCTCCCCTGTGGCAATTCTGCACAGGCTGGCGTAACAGACAGCTAGCACTTTAATTTGCTTCGGACATGCTTCTCAGGTTGCAGTTTTTCCTGTCTAAGCAAATTGCTTCTTAGTACCTTTCTCTTACTTTCCATCATTTGAGCCCAGGGATCTACCCACTTACTGAAATCTAAATTTTAAAAAGTCAGAGACATGAGATACTTTCACTATTTCCCTATTTAGAAGTATCCACGAGACACTTCCTTTCTGCCTTTTGTTTAGGATTTCCAGACTTAGGAAAGGAACCAGGCTTGTGCTTTGAAGTCTAAAAGCAGCTAAAGTACGGCACTCGCCAAAAGCAAGGTGAAGAAGGAGGATTGGCTGGTCCTACTATGCATAGTCAGGAGATGGACTTTTGTTATGTTCAGTGTTCAGAGGGCTTTATGTTACCATTCAGTGCTTACTGAGCGCCAATGATGCACTTGAGAAAAAAAGGGAGGCAGGACTTTGCAGACCCCTGTCCTAAACTAGAAGGCAGAGATAAGGCAGTTCCCCCAGTGATAAGAATGTGTCCTTGGATAAAGATTTCAAGAAGCAGCAGAAACCAGGAAGGATCAGAATTCCAGTCTTTTTAGCATTGCAACACAAAATGGAAAGGAGCCCTCTGTGGGGTGATGTTACAAAGGGTTTTTCTTGTCTTTCACTCTTCTTTTTTCTTCTTTTTTTAAAAAAGTATTCCTTACTGGCTTGTTACCAGCAATTGAACTGTATTCTTTATATAGCTAAAGTTGTTTGTGTCTTCTTAAAATAAACTTTTTCTGTTAAAATCGTTTTCTATTTCACCCTCTGGTTTTCATTGCAGCAATGATGCCTTTATTCCTACACTAAGCACAAGTGTGGGGCTCACACACAGGAGCTGATGCTCACTGACCCCTGAGAGCCCAAACTAGATAAGTGGGATACTGAGTCTTACAGAAACCTGCCCACCGAGCCATGAGCCTGAGCCATATGGGCAGGTAATCCATGTTGGAAGACTTCTTCTAAAGTGTTCAAATTCAACCACTCATGGTGGCCGCAGGGGACTGATGAAATGGGCAGCAGTTGCCAGGCTCCTGAGAGGAGGAGATTGCCCTAGCAACTGCGCTCAGGGCAAGCACTTCCTCTTTGTTCTCTGGCTCAATGGAGCCACCCAGCAGGGCAGACCAGAGTGAGTCTGGACTGGGAGCAAACAACGCAGACCAGATGTGGCACAGATCACTTCCATCCCTCAAAATGGGTATGAGCCTACCATGCAGGTAGTGACAACTGTATTCAAGGGTCAACTCCCTTCCAAAACGAGCTTTGTCCTCTGTCCCAACTGGCTGAGACCTCTATGACTGAGTCTCTTGAAGCCAGTGTCCTGTCCTTGTCACTCACACCCCATGCTAGCTCAGGTCTCCTGGCACCACTGGGCTGCTCTTCCAAAAAGACACAACAGAGCTGGAAACAACCTAGAAAGCTTACAAGGGAAGGGAGAGGGGCCAGGGCTAAGCTCAGGCAACAGCAGGTGTTAAGATTTAAGATAAAGGTCAGAGACAGAGGCTGGCTCAAGGTGGGCCTCACGGCTAACAGTGCCTCTGAGGACCATGCAATTCAGGGTGTAGTGTTCATGCTGTCAGGGTCAGAGCCTCCTTGTGCCACAGCGCCATGAGTTGGGGAAGCTTGTAGGGACCAGCCCACACTGAACCAACTCACAAAAATCATATCAAAGGCAGGGTCTGATATATTAATTAACCGAAGAGAGAGTATACCTTTAAAACACAGGTCATAAGCAGGAAGCCAGTAGGCTGGACTGAGCTCACACATTGCCCAGAGTACACAATGTTGTTTGTCAATTTTTAAAAATTTAGATGGGGCACAGTCTCTCCAATTTACCTACTTCCCCATCACTCCCTGTTATGTTAATCCTAACTGGCTTCACTCATTTCTATTACCTACCAGGCCCCTGAAAGCATTTGAGCCTGTGGCCCCTGCTTCGAGTTGTCGTTGTGGGTTGGGTTTGCCAGAAGCCGACTCTGGGGTAGAGTTGGGTATGCAGGGTATTTATAGGGGTGCCCTAGGGATTGACATTGTGGAAGAGAAGGCTTAGGCAGCAGGAGAGAGGCCAGTAATACAGGCACTGCAAAGTCCCTGCCAACTCGATGGCAAGTTCTGGCACTCAAGTGACCCATCAGAGTTGATGTGTGCTGAGCGAAAGGCAGGAACCTACACACACCTATTTCAGTCAGTCACAGGCTGTGGGCCACTCTGCCAGGGGCCTGACCTTGGGTAAGGTGTCCGTCCAAGGCATCTTTGCTGGCAGCCCTTCCAGCAGTTGAGCAACAAGACCACCCTCAAAGGGGAATCTGGGCCACACAGTTCTGTGTCCATCACAAGTGTCTTTCTCCCAAGAACTGGTTAAATACCTATAAATTCTTATTTCCTGATTCTCACTCCTTACCTGACACAGATTATGGTTCGTTTGCTTAGGGTCATAGCTTTCTTAAATTAGAGTCACCAGCTCAGGATACCTGCTAGTAGCCATCATTAGATTGGTATCTCACAAGTCTCATTAATGCTCCTTAACAGAGGGCATGCCACATATGCAAAGGGTAAGTCAATCCATCATAAAATGGCACTTGCACCTATCAAGCACCTATGATGGGCCAGACAAGTTTGCTCATCTGGCCACTTCTTTTATTTATCCACTCAACAAAAGTGTAACAAGCTCCTTCTACATGCCTGGCAGAGTGCCAAGTTTCAAGGGTAGCATAGTGACCAACACAGACACCCTGTTTTTCTTCACAGAGTGGGGCATCTGCCAAGACTAGCTCACTTGGTGGTGCTGGGGACAAGGATCACTGGGCCTCATGTTCCTATTATCTAGGAGCCAGCACCCTGGATATGAGCGCTGGCCACGTTTTTTCTCTCAGTACTTACCTCAAACTGCTTTGAGCCTCTGCTCCCCTCTCTCCCATCCTTTTCAGCTGTGTCCAGTGGAACCCCAATTCTAGGGATTCATAAATACCCCTACAACCCAAACAGAAAGTTCCCCTCAACCCTTTCCTTAACAGACCCAGCTCTCTCCTGAGAACCCTGTTTCTCCTGTATGCTTCTCCTCAGAGATTCTTTCCTTCCCCAAATCTTTCTGCCTCTGGAGGTAGAGTGGGTCCCTTCCTTACTTTCTAGTGTATGTTTCAGACCATGAATGCTGAGCCTCTCAGTCACTCCCCTCATTGTCTTTCCACCCTAGACTCGCCAAAAACCAGGGTCACTTCGACATTGTTGTAAAAGACCCATTGCAAATTACTGGCTTCTCATTTCTCTGGCCTACTCCCCTCTGATGATCTTTTCTGCTCTAGTCACCCATGCTCAGGGTCACAAATGGACCTTGCTATCTTCCAGAATTGGTAAATCACTGAAATCTTCAATCCCCCACAACCTCGTATCTTTCCAATGCTCTCATTTGATTACTCTATTATGCTGTTCAACTTTATCAAGACCTCTAATAACTTAACCTATTCATTCACTGGATATTTAGCAGACATAACAGCAGGCATGCGTTAAATCCTGGGGGTATAGCTTTGAGTATGACAAGCATAAGCCCTACTCTCTTGGTGCTCAGTCCAGTTTTTCTTGATCTCTCAGCCCTTCTCTCCATTTTAACTTCTCCCCCAATTAGTTCAGGTCTAGCATTTTGACGACTCTCTTGCAAATATCCTCAACTATGTTTGTTCCATTGTCCTTCCTCCAACCCACTGGGCACAACCCCACCTGTACGATTCCAGTGGTCCACATTCTTTGTCCCCACACAGAGTGGCAGAAGACCACACACAGTCATGCAAACTGGGGTTCTCCTACTGAACACTGGTCTTCATGTCTACTCAAAAGAATCCTTCTCTGGTTCCACAATTAGCTCTTTTTCCTATTCTTCACAACTTCAAACCTCTGCTCTCCTTGGACCAAACCCCCTACTAGTCCCTCCTTCCTGCCACCTCTCCAACAGATGACTTTGCCTCCTGCTCCCCAAAGGAAATAGAAGCCATCAGATAGAAAGTCCCTTACTGTCTTAACAACAAATCCACAATCCCACCTATATGTGCACACTTCTTTATCCCCTCTCTATCCTGTATCTCTAACTTCTCCCTTTCAATGAACATTTATTCCACAAATACTAATGAGCACCCACTATGACAAGAACTGTGCTAGAACCTGGGACTATAATGGTAGGCAAAACAGTCAAGGTTCCTATCTTTAAGGAGCTTGCCTTCTAGTGGGAGGGGACAGATAACACATTAGTAAACAAACCAGCAAGAATATTTTAAATTATTAAGGAAGTACAATAGGATGTTATGATAGAAAATAATAGGGGAAAACTATTTTGGAAAGGTGGTGGGGAAAGGCACTTGTCAGGAAGTGACATATGGGCTGAGGGGAATAAAATTATGTTCTGAACACATTAAGTTTGAGACTCCTATTAACTATGTAATGGAAATATCCAGTAGACAGCAGGTTATATGAACCTGGAGCTTAGGAGAGAAGGCAGGGCTAGAGAAATTTGGGAGCAATAAGCAGATGGGTGTGTCTGGTGCCAGGATCCCAAATGAGCTCTCCCAGGGAGAGAACATAGATAGAGAAGAGAATCAAGGCAGAGCTGTGGGCCCCTCCACCTGGAGGCTGGGTAGAAGAAGAGGGTCAGCCAAGAAAACTGAGGCAGAGCAGAAGGAGAAAACCCAGAGAATGTGGTGTCATGAAAGCCAAGAAGGAAGGCTTTATAAGAAAGAAAGAGTGATCAACTATGTTAAGTGCTACTGAGAGAAATCCAGCAACATGAAGACTGAAAAGTGACCACTGGATGTTGGGCAGATGATGAGGGTGGTTTCAGTGGAGCTGTAAAATGGAATCTCAATTGGAGTTTGTTGAATAGAGAATGGGAAGAGAGGGCATGGAGAGAATGATTACAGACAAGCCCTGTGAGAGTTTTTCCTGTGAAGGAGATCAAAGAAGTAGGAGCATTAACTGGTGGGGGAAACAGAATTGAGAGAGGGTTTTTAGGGTGGGTGACATGGGCTCTTGTTTGTATACACATGAAAACAGTTCGGTAGTAAAGGAATGCTGTTGAAGCAGTAGCCTGTGAAAAGGTGAGACTGAGTAATACCCTGAACACAGGAGGAAGTGTTGGTTGGCTTTTTATGGGAAAGAGGGCAGTTCTTCTATTGTAACAGGACAGAAGGCAGTGTATTTGGGCACAGATATGTGGACTCGTGTGCACTGTCAGAGCCTGGAGAAGTTCACGTCTGGCTGTTTCTAATTTCTCAGGGAAATAGGAAGCAAAGCCATCAGCTGAGGTGGTATGGCCTTCTTGGGAGAGGGGTCACTCTCTCTAGAAATAACAAGGCAATATGGTGTGCACACAGTGCCCTGGGATTCTTTTCTTCTCATTCCTTCTGGTTGGACCAGATCTCTCCAGCTGAAAGATAATTCTTCCCGGACCTCATGTCACTTTCCTGCTACCATGATGAGCCTCATCTCCTTTCTTTAAAACTAACATCATGAAAGAGTTGCTGCACTGACCAACTCCATTCTTCATGTTCTGCTCCCTCACAACCCTCCCTGATCTGACTTCTGCTCCCATCCCTCGAATAGGTCCACTGTCCTGAGAACCTAGGACCTCCATGTCAAAAGATCTAGTGGTGCTTTTGGTCCTTAAACTCACACCTTTCAAGCACTTGGTACTATTGACCCCCTTCTCCGAAAGCTTCTTTTGGCCTCGCCGACATTGCACTCTCCTGCTTTCCTCACTCACTTATCTG